CATTGCCGTGGCTTCTCTTGTTACAGAGCACGGGCTCTAGGCGTGCGGGCTTCAGTGGCGCACAGGCTCAGTAGTTGTGGCACACAGGCTTAGCTGCTCTGTGGCATGTAGGATCTTCCCGGACCAGGGCTCAAACCTGTGTCCCCTGCCTTGGCAGGCAGATTCTCAACCACTGAGCCACCAGGGAAGCCCCCTGCTCATTCCTGATATTGCTCATGTGGGAAATTTAGAAGAACATTTTGATTGGCAGATTGGTATATGTTCACACATGGTCTATAACTGCAAAGACAAATTGAAGGCCATGTGGTGATGCAGTTGCTTTCTTTAGTGGAAAGGCATTCAGGACTCGGTTGCCTAATTGGGAGTAAATCTACTTTCAAGTCATTTACAAAAACTGTTCAGATTTTATCGACTTAAGAAAAACACAAAAAAGATTAAAAAAAAAAAAAAAAAAAAAAAAAAGATTTTGGCAAACGCTGTTTTCTGAAGTGCAACCATTGTATATTTTACAGAGAACAAAACAACTTACGTCAGTTCTAAAATGCTACCATCATTTTTTTTGCCCTAAAATCCAAAGTTCCTTCTAGGCAAATGTACAATGTTCAATCTGCTTCTCCGCTAACTGCACAAAACCTTAACGCTGCATCTTTTTCCTTTTTAAAACGAAATAATAGATTCTGTGTATGGGTTTCTGACTAAAACTGAAGTACATGAATACACAGATTTTTATCTGTGAATAATAAATTTTCAAAATTAAATTTTCACTTCAAGTAATTCCAAGTTAAATTATAAATCAGTTAAAAATGAACCATGTGGAAATAATGTAAGTGTTTTAAGGGTCCTTTTCTATTATTTGATCAAATTACTGGAACATTGGATTTCCTAGACAAAATACTCAAATTAACTATATTCACAGCAGGATTAAAGAATGGTTGAATCATCCCTAATGATTTCCTTTACCAAAAAGGGGCAACTGAGAAATGTTTAGAAAGTAAATCTGAGTTAATCAAAAGAATGAAGAAAGAAATTGCTTACAAAAATGTTTTACTGACCAAACTAGTTGTGTTTTGAGGGAAGCTGAAAGGTAGTACTTTCACATGTTTAACCTTCTTGCCCACGGTTGGGGGGAGGGGAATCTCCCTATAGGTTACATTGCTACAAAAACATAATTGTTGCTTTTTCTGTCCTGTCCCTCATTTTTTGCCTTTCTTGAGAAAAGTTCTTAAGGCTCTAGAAAATAGCTAAGATGGAAAATAGGAGTAGGTAAGAAATATCTGGAAAAGAAGCATAAGGAGAAGTGTCATCCCACGTGAGTAGTTTGGGGCCAGATCACAAACATCCAAGACCAAGAACAAGGTAGAGAAGGGAGCTTTTGAGGAGAAGAGTGATTTGGCCAGATCTGTGGAAGATAAATCCTCTAGACTAGCTCAAAGAGAGAACGAAGTAAGGAAACTCTTAGGATGCTCCAGGGATGGGTCCCCAGGTATCAGTCAAGGTCCTGGCAGAAAACAGGTAGCAGCCAGGCTGGGTAATTTAAGATCAACAAAGGCAATACTACGAGAATGCAGACATGGCTTAAGGAAATTCACAAAGGATAGGACTACAATGGCAAAAGCCATAACCACTCCGAGGCCTGCAAGAACCAGGGGAATAATTAGAGTAGCTGGGAGAGGGTGACTGCACGGAGAGAGCTGCCTGATTGGAGCTACGGCCTTTTAGAGGAACCAGCCAACCCACAGTAATAACCACAGAGGGCTAGGGACAAACATGCCCTCACCTCTCCCTCTTCACATCCTCTGACCTTCTGTCACTGCCTCATCTGGCTGCACGCAGCTGGAAGCCAGGGGTAGGAGCAGAGTGGAGAGAGTACCGGGAGAATTACATAGAAGAGTCCCAGTCTAGGGGTGAGGTCACGGTAGTGGGAATGAGAAAGGAACAATACAGAGACAAATTTAATAGGACTTTTAGACCAACTGAATTTAGAGATAGGAAGAGAAAAGCCAAGGATGACATCATAGGTTCAAGCCTTGCTAGACTAGAATGGATAATTACATCAACTGAGCCTGTTTTTACTAACCGTTGTATTCCCAACGCCCAGCACAGTGCCTTGGCCATGAAAAACCTTCTATAAACATTTGTTGGAGGGGAAAAAAGGTGGATGGAAGATGGAAGAAGCAAATTTTCAGGAAGATGATGTGTTATGTAGTCTTAGACACGCTGAGTTTAGAGTATGATAGAAGAGCCCAGCAGGTGGTTGGAGATTTGAGTCCAGTGCTCTGAAAAGGAAAGGGAGAAAGATGTACCTCTAAGAATCATCTGCACAGAAGTGGCAGCTGACACAATGAGAGTGGATGAAATGGCATAGAGAGCAAGTATAAAGAGAAAAGTGGGGTCTGATGACCAAACTGGGGATCTATCTGCAATATGGGACAAAGGAAAAAAGACAAAGGAAAAACCAACAAAAGGAAACGACAATATTTACAACCCTTTGCCATACTGTTATAGTATATTCACATATATCTGCACATCCCTGGTAAGCTCTCTTTCTATTAACACTGCACAATCTTGCCCAACATAAAGATGATACAAATGCAAGCTGGAGACTACCACATACCTATCTGCCTCAATAAGATATTTTTTAAAGCCCCAAATCCTGGTCTTACTAGTTTTGCTCACCTTGAATCTAACAGCCAACATTAATCCCTTTTTAATTTAGAAATTAGGCTTATTCTTTCAAGCAATCATGTACTGAATACCTATTATGTATCCAGCACTATGCTCAGCAAAGTGGAAGTAAAAATCAGCCTCCGGTCATCAAGGAAATTAAAATCGACTTGGATTATAAAGAAACACTTGAGCATAAAACAATTAAAGTTCGGTTAAGAGCTGACCTATATGATTCAAACCAAATAGCATTTCATCCAGTGAGAATACCATTCAACGCCTATGGACATCTGCTCTTTCTTTTCCCTAACTCAGAAGATTGACAAAGGAGCTAAAGTCTACACAGCTGTACTTCCTATTTAAGGCCCAACCATGCCATATTGTAAATTTCTCTTGACCTTTCTTTCTTCCCCACTGTTCCATAAGGTCTCCTTAATCTTTGTATCTAGTGTCTCAAACATGGTAGTCATTCAAATGTTTGTTAAATGAATGAATGAATCAGAAGCTAAGCCAAGCCCAGAACAGCCACATCAGTGTCCTTAACACTCTCCTATGGCAAATCCCGAACGCTTTAAGGGTCAAGGAAGTTACCTAATATGACCTTTGACCTGGCCTTGGCCCCATGGGATGACTGGTATTAAAAACTTGGTGTTGAGCGTTAAGACAAAGGCTCAGAAAACCCCCAGCAAATCTTAAAATGCTTTTAGAGAAGAGGAAGAAAGAATATTAGAGCCCAATTCCTGAGGCATAAAATGTGCTCACTAAATGTTTGATGAGTGAATGAACAAAGGAGAGCTGAGGAAAGCCAATGAGCTCAAGAAGAGACCAAACTCAGGGGGGCAGGTGTGATAGGTGGGGCTGTATCTAAAGCCCTCTCTAGCTGACACTCAACTGAATCTATTTCCTAACTAACGGCTATTATGTCCATTTCTATGGATTAATTCTCCAGTAACCCCTTCTTCACTAATCCCAACTTCCCATTAAAGGAAAACAAATCCTATAAACCACACAATCATCAGTGCCTCCTACACTGGACTGTACATATTCATCACCTAGATATTTTGTTAAAATGAAGGTTTTGAATCATTACATCTGGGGTGAGGCCAGAGATTCTGCATCTCTAACGAGTTCCCAGGTGATGCTATACTGCTGGTCGACAGACCACACTTTTCCAGCATGAAGAGTCTAGAAGACATTGCAGATAATATGTATGTAGTCTTAAAATCACAGTTAAGATACCTCCTGCTCCCACACTTCCTAGCTGTAAAATCTTAGACAAGTCATTTTACTGAGCCTGCCTTTGGAATATGGTGCTTACTATGTACCAGGAACTAATGCTTCAAATTTATCAACTTATAAATAGGACTTAAGTTAAACAACCTGTCCAATGTGGATATAATAAACCCAGATCTTATTCTAGGAGCTTGATTCAAGAACCTGGTGCTTAATCACTGTATAAGATTGCCTTTTCAGCATAGCTTCCAGAGCCATTATGAAGATTAAATAATAATTGGTACTTAGCTCACATTTACCGAGTACTCATAGGCTCCAGACCTCTGTGTAAGCTCCCTTGGGAGCATATTAACTCATTTATCTTCATGGCAGCCCTAAGAGGCAGGTACTATTAGTATCCCCATCGTACAGGTTTTAAAATAGGCCCAAAGAAGTTAAACAGCTTAAGGTCAAACACTAGTGCAGTCAAGGTCGGAATCCAGGCAGTCTCACGGCAGAGCCCGGCGCTCTTTTGCCACAAGCCAGCAGAGGATGCGGCCCAGGGTTCCGGGGACCAGATATCAGCTCACCCACTCAGGGCGGTCTAACTGCCAGGTCCGCTCACTCCCAAAACAAACCAAGCCCTCGTCTACACGTAGCTTTACGTACATCTGTGGGAAGTGTCTTTCTCGGCCCACACCCCGGACCCCCATGAACAAGTCAGGGCTCTGGCGAAAAATAATTTGTCAGGTCCTAAGAAGAGCTGATTGGCTAAACATCTTGAGAACTGACTTACACTTAAACTGTAACACAGTCGCTCCGGGACCCCCTTAATCTGCGGCCCCGAAAATATGCACCGCAGGCTGGGCTCCGCGCGCCTACTCCGCCTACATCCGGTCTCGAGCCCAAAGGCCACCTCTAACCCCATTCGCTCTCCAACACCGCCCTCTGCCGGCCTTCCCTTGGATCGCCGGCATTGTGAGTCCCTTCCGGGTGTCCCGGAAGCGGAGCTTTCTCTTCCGGGACGAGCGTCTTGGCGACCGCACGTGGTTGTAGCGCCGGTGCTTGAACCTAGCTGGCAGAGAAGTGATTGCAACTGTCTCCCAGAGAGAGGGATCCGAGCCGGAGCCATGGAGGGTCAGAGCGTGGAGGAGCTGCTGGCAAAGGCGGAGCGGGACGAGGCAGAGAAGCTGCAGCGCATCACGGTGCACAAGGAACTGGAGCTGGAGTTCGACCTGGGTAACCTGCTGGCTTCGGACCGGAACCCTCCGACCGGACTGCGGCACGCGGGAGCCACGCAGGAGGCCGAGCTGCGGGCCCTGGCGCGGGACAACACGCAGCTGCTCATCAACCAGCTGTGGCAGCTGCCCACCGATCGTGTGGAGGAGGCGCTGGTGGCGCGGCTGCCGGAGCCCACCACTCGTCTGCCGCGCGAGAAGCCTGTGCCCCGGCCGCGGCCGCTTACACGCTGGCAGCAGTTTGCGCGCCTCAAGGGCATCCGTCCCAAGAAGAAGACCAATCTGGTGTGGGACGAGGGGAGCGGCCAGTGGCGCCGCCGCTGGGGCTACCAGCGCGCCCGCGACGACACCAAGGAATGGTTGATCGAGGTGCCCGGGAATGCCGCCCCCATGGAGGACCAGTTCGCCAAGCGGATTCAGGCTAAGAAGGAACGGGTGGCCAAGAACGAGCTGAACCGGCTGCGTAACCTGGCCCGCGCGCACAAGATGCAGCTGCCCAGCGCGGCCGGCATGCACCCTACCGGACACCAGAGTAAGGAGGAGCTGGGCCGCGCCGTGCAGGTGGCCAGGGTCTCCACCGCCTCTGTGGGGCGCTTCCAGGAGCGCCTGCCCAAGGAGAAGGCGCCCCGGGGCTCTGGAAAGAAGAGGAAGTTTCAGCCTCTTTTCGGGGACTTTGCAGCCGAGAAAAACCGCCAGTTGGAGATGCTGCGAATAATGAACAGCAAGAAGCCTCAGTTGGACGTTACGAGGGCCACCAATAAGCAGATGAGGGAGGAGGACCAGGAAGAGGCGGCTAAGAGGAGGAAAATGAGTCAGAAGGGCAAGAGAAAGGGGGGCCGACAGGGTCCCGGGGGTAAGAGGAAAGGGGGCCCGCCCAGCCAAGGAGGGAAGAGGAAAGGGGGCTTGGGAGGGAAGATGAAATCCGGGCGGCCTGGCTTGAGTGGCAAGAGAAAAGGAGGGCAACACCAAGGAGGAAAGAGGAGGAAGTAAATTTCACCCTCGGACCTGCTTGTAAACCAAGAACTGTACTTAATGTTAAGTTCTAGGTACAGTAGGGGGATACAGAAGATGGGGCCGCTGCCTGCATCGAGCTTCAGGTTAAAGGGCTAGGCTTGCCCTCCTCTGAAGATGGTTGTAAATGTTTGATTCGACAAATTAATGCATTTCCCAGAGCCAAAACTTTTGCTGGAGATTAAAGGATGTATTTAAGGACATACGAATTGGAAAGAATCTGTGGAAACTATGAGTGAGTTCTGTTTTTAAACAGCCATTTTTTCTCTCTCTCTCTTTAAACTTTGGATGGGGTGTAAGGGAGAGAGCTGGTCATATTTCAGAGACTTTTAATAGATTGGTATCTGCATTATTTTGATAACAAACTTGTGTATTTATCAAAGGAGAGGGACAGAAAGGTTACATTTTCAGAACTGTTGTAAAGGTTATTTCATAAAAGTGTCTTATGTAATGTTGCTTTTAACTTTTTGGCTACTGGTACAAATCTTAAGTAAAGCTTGTGACCTGGATACCTGGCACAGATTATTTTCATTTACTTTCTAGAAAACATAGCAGCTAAATTATGATTTCAGTGAGACCACTTTTATTAGAAAAGCTCATACTTCTTTTGGTATCAGATATAATATTGAAAGTGTAGTACAACTGGTGCCTCTTTCAACACTGAAAACATTAATTTGCTGTAAATGATAAATTGGGGCTTCACTAAATAATAGTAATAATCCTCATTAACCCTAATTTTATACTTAAATCTTTATCAACATTTATGTCCCCAGTTTTTTTAAAGCTTCAGGTAGGTCTGTCTGGGGAAGAGAGAAAGAAACTCACAAAGTCCTTACTTGGAACATTATCTTTTGATTCATTTGTCAAATTGATCTGAGCTGGTTTGATTAGGAGATGAAATGTTTACAGCTATTCTGGGTCTCTTTCCATAATTGATATCAGTAACTCATCTTCGTAAAAATACGTATCTCCTGAAAAGGATTCATAGTACATCTAGAAGGGGGGGTAGTGCTTTTTTGCTGCTGTTATAGGTCTGAGGAGCCACTCTACTCTTGCTTTTTGGTCTGACAGTTGATAGGAAATTAAAATTGAGATCGTTTGTCTCTCATTTTTTAACTGTTGTCTCATGTTTGTTACTTTTAGAAATTGCTATGAAAGAAAAGATTAATTCAGATTTCATAATAGGTTACTAAAACACAGATGTTCAGTTACTGTCTTAAAATACTTTGTGATAAAGTTAACTCTGCCATCATTGATCATTGTTTCCACTGGGACCTGGAAACTTGGAGCTGGTAAACCCTGGCCCTCCCTTCCCACATAACCATGGAAAGTTTTTAACTACTGATAAAACCATTTAATGGTATCCTGAACAACTTCATCAAAAGCCAAACCATTCATAGACCATTTAACACCTTTTAAATTCTTCTCAACTGTCTGGGATTTTTTGTTGTTGTTACTGTTCTGTTTGGGAATTTTTCTGGCTTTTGTTTTGTGACTTGATCTAGCAGTTGGACACAATACTGGCCTTGTAAAAAAAAAAAAAAAAAAGACCCTCGGGTTTTTTGCAAAGTTCTTGTTTACCGTTAAAACAAATTTAAATGCAGTGTCTTAATTTATTCTGAAAATACTGAGAAGCCAACATAGCAGTCAGAGTGGAAAGAGAATGCCCTTGTTTCTCCCTTTCCCCACGTCCCCAACTTGTGAAATAGAGCGTTTTATATAGAGACTTAGGAAAGTACCCCAGATCCCTACGGAGCAGTTACCTGTGTGGCAATTTCAAAGGTGGATGGTGAGACTTTGCAGTTGGGGCAGTCGTAGTTCCGACTGGTGGGAAAATGGTCCTCCGCCAAGGGCTGTAGCTGGGGCCGGAGACCGCGGCGCGGGTAGGCGGAGGAGAGGCGGCGGCCGGGATTGGCCGGCGGCGGAGGGGGCGGGGCCGCGGAGAGGAGCACTCAGCGCAGCCATGGCCGCTCCTCGCGACAGGGTAGCGCACTTGCTGAGGCAACTGCAACGCGCAGCGTGAGTGCGGGCGGCGCGGGCTGGCGGGCAGGGGATCGGAGGGTGCGGCCGAGCCCACGCAGCCCCCGGGGAGCAACTCGCCCGGGCCGGCACGTTCTTCCTCGTGTCACTTTCGAGAAGTTGGGGACCGGGTACCGCAGTGCGCGGCGGCCTGGACGGCGCTGTCTGTGTGCCAAGCAGCCAAGCAGCCAAACGGCCAAGCGCGGCGCGATGAGGCTGCTTTTCCTCTGCCTGATCTGCGGTTTAGGAAAGTAAGGCCCAGAGAGGAGAGCGCCTGGTCCCAGATCTACGCAGGCAGCGGAGAGCTTGGAACAGTGACCCAGAGAAATGCATGTATCCAATCGACACATACGTATCGGGTGTATGTAATGTGCCCAAAACTATTCTAGGTGCTGGGGATGCAGCAAAGTCTAGCAGGGAATTGCATGAGCGGACAGGAGTGAAACGGGCCTCTGCAGAATGCAGCGGACAGAGGGTGTAGAAGAGAGAGGGATGAGAGAAATCACCAGGAGCTTGACTCCCTGGCATGTACAGGGCAGGCAGGGTATTAAACGTTATGACACGTCTGACTCGCCCTCCAGAAATGCCAGGTACATAGTAGCTGCTTGATAAATACTTGTTGAATGTGCACGTGCACAAGTCCGCCTGGGAACACATGGGGAAAAAATGAGCTGACAGGTGGAGATAAATCGGGGGAAAGGAGGGGACTAGAGAGGAATTTCAGGCAAAGGGAAGAGCAACACCAGAGGCAAAAGCCGTAGTTCCAGGATCTAAAAGTAGCTAAAGACTGGACCTACCATGATAGGAGGACGTGAGGAAAGAAAAAACAGATGGCGAAAGACCATGAATTAGAAAACAGCCAAATTTACTGGGCACTTACCAAGCACAGGGCGCCGTCCTACACACTTTACGTGTATCACTAATAATAACTCTAATCCTTACGACAACGCTATGCCAAGCTGAATTATTATCCTATTACAGATAAAAAAATAAAGGCATGGAGAAAAAATAATTTGCCCAGTGTCATACACTAAGCAAGTGGCACACCCATAATCTGGACCCAGGTGTTCTGGCTTCACTGTCCTTGTTCTCAGTCCTATGCTAAGGAATTTTAATTGCGTCCTGTAGATAATAGAAAGCTGTTGAAGCAATAGTCCTCACTGTGAAACATACTCTTTGAGATGCCCCATGAAAAAAGAATCCCATGGCCAGATAAGTTTGGGAAACTAACCAACTGCTGCATCACCCTATGGAGAGTCAGGATATATGTCAGCTCACGAAGAGCACTGAGAACTCCTGCAGGGAAGAAAAGAAACAAAAATTTAGCTGTATTTAAATTCTTTGTTCTAAACCTGTGTCATCACAGAACTCTTTATCAAGCAACCCCATTCATATCCCTTGGAACCAATGTCATGTAGCACGTGTTTTTGGAATAGCTGCATGCAAAGGAGGGTGGCATGATTAGAATTAAGCTGAAGCTTTCTGGTGGCAGTGGAGAGGAAAGACTGGAGGTAATTGTCAGGCTCCAGCTAAAAGGCACCAAGGAGTGGCAGCTGGTACAAGAGGGTAGATATAAGAAAAATTGGTTGGAATCAGCAGGATTTTGTATCTGATTAGTGAGACAGAAGTGGAGGTTTCTGGCTGGGGCATCGGTAAACAGTGGGGCCATTTACCAACATAGGGACTGTAAACTTTAGGAGGAAGATGATAATCATTTTGAGTTGGACATGCCTCACGCACATCCAGGTGAAGACCCCGAGCAGGTAATTGAATACACTGTTCTGGAGCTCAGGAGCAGGTTGGAAACACACCCATATATAGAGGGCAGTTGACACAATGGACGTAGAAGCAAAGGCCTTGACAAACTGTATTCCTAGAAGAAAAGGGCTGAGGATGGAGTCCTGCGGAGCAGCACTGTGTGGTGCTTTGTTCTTTGCATTTTTTTTTTTTTTAATCCCATGTAGAAAGTGAGAGATTGCAGGTAAAAATCTTGGAAAATAGGAAAATGGTATCATTGGGCCCACATTTTGCCCAGGGAAAGTCTGCCAGAGCTGAGGTGAAGCTGTGCCCACCTGCTTTGGACAGGGCAGCACTCCAGCTTCCTGAGAGACAACTCCCTCCACCCCAGGGCGGCCCACCACTCAGTCCACACACACAGCAGCTGTGCTGACAGCCAGCTGCTCTGGCCTCATTTCCATTACCTGCTGGCCTCTTTAGGCACTTGGATTTGCACATGATTTGCACTCTGACTGCTGGAAAAGGAACCAGCATTAAAGGATAGGAGGGGTGACCAAAGAGGTGAGAGGAAGGAAGGGAAGGAGGGAAGGACAGTTTGCAGTGCTCTCATCCCCAGGGTACCACAGGGAACCAAGCAGCCTAACATCCGTGGGACTTAGTGGGGGGGGGGGGGGGGGGGGGGGGGGGGGGGGGGGGGGTCAGGCAGGGCAGATAATAAATAATAAACTAGTAAGTAAAACTTAGAGTATATTTGATACAGCTATAGGTACTAAAGAGAAAGAGAAAGCCAAGGGGGATGGGGTGTTGGAGGAGAGGATGCAATTTTAAAGACAGAGAAAACCTCAACTACTTACAGTTTCCTGTGGCTGCTGTAGCCAATTACCATGAACTTAGTGGCTTAAAACAACACACATTTATTATCTTACAGTTCTGAAGTTCAGAAGTGCAAAATCAGTTTTCCTGGGCCCAAATCAAGGTGTCGGCAGGGCCACATTCCCTTCAGAGGCTCTAGGGCAGAGTCCATAATCTTGCTTTTAACAACTTCTAGAGCTGCAGCGCCTGCATTCCTTTGCTGGTGGCCCCTTCCTCCATCTTCACAGCCAGCAACGTCGCATCTCGCTTCAGCGGTCACGTTGCCTTCTTCTGTGTCAAATCTCCCTCTGCCTCTTTCTTAGAAGGACACTGTGATTACCTTTAGGGCCCACTCAGATAATCCAGGATAA